ACCAAACGAAGCAGGAAACCAGGCCACGGCATCCCCGGTCCCCGCGTTTCTATTTGGCTGCAGCCTGGGTGGCCCTTGCTTCTCCCCGACAGCAGGCACGTGCCGCAAAAGGGCATCTTGTTTTCTTACCATTAAAACGCTGACGTTCGGACACCTCCTGGCATTACTACACGTGTAATCTCCAGTCCTATCCGCTCCTAACTGCAGTCCTGACACTCCCCTCGCTCCCACGCCGCCGTCCCCACTGGACTCGGGGCCCACTCTTTGAAATAACCGGCAAGCTTATTACCATTATCGCTTCAATCCTCTTAAGGTTAAGTCAATCCTATTAATCAGGCTCGTGATGCGGAGAACCTTATTATTTCAAAGTCAATCTGCCCATCGGTCCGTTATGATATTAAGACAATAAACTCCAACGCGGAAGGGGGTGCGTTTCTGGAGCCGGGCACGCGGGGGTCATAGGACTCATTAGCGTTAATGACTATTTAAACCTCTCGCGCATCCAGCTACAAACATATCCCCAAAAGGCAAGGAAGCTGCCTCAGTTATTCCCCAGGAGGGGGCAGGCTTCTAAAATCCTAAAAACGTGCAATCTCCGCTGGCTGCATTTTCCCAGGCCGTGGCTCCCGATGGTGCCTCCAGAGCAGCTCTTCCTTCCCGGGAAACGCTGCTGCAGCTCAGCACTTCTAAGCTCAGGTGCTGCGATTTCCCGATGGGACAGCCCTGCGTTGCTGTGGCAAGCACGGTGAGAGTGTCCTCGCTGTGTGTGCAGGCCCGCGGGACATCGCGTGTGGGCTGGGATGGGAGCAACCCCTAGACCTGGACTGCTCCCTGCAGGGTGGCTCCAGAAACCCAGGGGCAGGCCTCCTGTTTTCTGCTCAAATCGGTAGGGTCTCGAGGACACGTCTGTGGGATCCCACTGCTCGTCTCCTGGCATCTTTCTCAGGTGCGGGAGCGTACCTGGATGTGCGTGCAAGCACGTGTGCCCCCACCCCCACGGGTTAGAGGGAGGCGTTCTTGCAGCTGCTTGTGAGCTCGGGGCCTCGTCTCAGGGTGACCACTTAAAGTTGGCACGGGTTTGGAGACAGCCCTCGCCTGCAAGGGACCGGCTTTGCAACCCCCTGGACACGTGCTGGACGGCTCGACCGTGCATCCGCTCACGTCCTGACTGCGCTTAGCGAGCGTTAAGCTGCACGTGTGACACCAGCCTCTGTGGCTGTGGGGCCAGGCGTCATCCAGGGACTGAGGCGTGGGTGGGGTTTATCTCGGGCTGTCCCAGCTCCCTTCAGGTGAGCGTGGGGAGCTGAGCGTGCCCTTCCTCTCATGTTGCGTGGGTGCGCGTTGTGCATCTTGGGCGCTAGCTCAGCAATGGCTCGGGCAGCCGCTGACTCAGTCCACGGCGGTGGGATTCAGGGGTGGGTCAGGGGGAGGCCGTCAGCCTTGGGGATGCTCTCGGTGAGGTGCTCTGGAAAGGTGGTTGCCTCCTGACTGACCTGTCACGTCACAACCTTGGGAACAGGGAGGTGCGTTACTGCTATTCGTGGACCGTATCGAGCGCCCATCACAGCTGATCAGGAGGAGACGTCCCAGAGGGCCTCATTGCCACTAAGGCCGTTTACTAACTGCATGCGCTTTCTTTGGAGGTCTGTTTTGGAAGCACCGGCGCGTGTGCCACAGCTGGCCAGCGCGGGCCCCGTGGCTGCTCTGAAAGGCCGGGGGGAGCCAGCCCTGCAGTGCACCAGCGCGCTCTCGATCTATTCGGCCGAACCTCCAGCCTTCGTCGTCTCTGGGTGTGCGCCGTGCCAGGGGCCGCACAGGTTCGGCTGGGTCCAGGCTGAAGCAAATCCCTTAATCGTTTATTAAGCAGCCTCTGACTCTCCTTGCTGGCCTCCTCCTTCCCTCCGCACTCCACTGCAGTGAAATCAAGTGTATTATTTCCTTCCGTAGTCAGGAGCCCAAATGAAACCAGCCCCCTCCTCCCGAACCAGGGAGCTTTATTGCTCTTGTTATTGCATTTATCCAGCCTCCAGTATGAGTGAGGGAGGCCCGGGGAGGGATTCTGCAGCCGCGCGCCTGCTGTTTCTGGCTGCCGCGTGCCAGCTGCTGGCAGGTTGGAAGGTGAGGTCCGGCGGAGTGACCCACAGCTGATCCGGCTCGTGCCTGTCCTGGGAGGCCAGGCCCGGGAGGATGGCACGCAGCGTGACGTGGCAGGATACCCTGGGAGCCCGCCCAGGAGCGAGGCGAGGGACAGCTTTCCATGGCATCACAGGCCCCGCGGGGACGTTCGGGTCTGGATCTGATGCCTGCTTGCTCTGATTTGGGAATGGGGACAGGGCCAGTTTGCAGAAGACAGCACCCAGGGCTCTCAAAGGCTGGGTGATCTCCCAGAAACAGGCTGCCACGAGTCTCCAAGCAGGCCGTGGTCGGTACCAGGTGACGTCCACGCAAGGAGTTCCCGGCTGTCTTCTCAGCTCTGGTGTCTTTTGGGTCTTTTGTTTCAATTTTTGGATTCTCGGCTTCTGAAGTCGCCAAATGTCTCGTGGCTTCAGGCTGGAACTTGGCCTGGGCCGTCCCTGAGAGGACCCGGGGCTTGTCTTTGTATTCGCGCTCCAAGGGCAGCCGTGGCTTGGGCCTCGTCGCCTGGCTCTGCGTTAGCTCCGTGGTCAGCGCAGGCCCGAGGCGTCCCTGCTCCCAACCAGGTCCTCGACTGACAAAATAAAAAAGAAAACCCTTGGCTGAGCGGAGCGCTAAAACTCCCCGTTCCTGAGATGATTAGTATGTTGGGAAAGTGGCAGGAAAGAGAATCAGGCGAAAGCCAAGGTCAGCAGCTGCTAATTAAGAATCAGCACCTTGTGTCAGGCTTGGAATTGAAACATAGCCCGGGAGAGACCCGGGCAGATAAAGGCGATGGTGTTACACAGATAGCAGCTCCCGGGATTGGAGAGGGGCTTAATGTTTCATCCCAGCTCGGCTGATAAAAGGGGTGAAACGCAGAGAAAATAGCCGAAGGAAGGAGAGAGCGAGCTCTGGGTCCAAGAGCTTGCCGGGCAGTGAGCGCGTCTGTCTAAAGAGATCCTCCCAAAGATACTGATTGTAAAAAGCTCATCTTTCCTGTGAGCGCAGGAGCGTGGCAGATGCCATCCAGCCAGCTCACGGAGTTGGCCTGGGTGCCAGGGCCCAGCTGTGCGGCAGCACTGCATGTCCCCATCCGGACGGTGAACGGACCTGCAATGCGCCCCAATATCTTCCTGTCCCCTTGGCCCTCCCTGGGGTCACCCGGCGTTTCAGTCCTTGCTCCGGGCTCCCGGTTTTGCAGGGAAGGTCTTGCTCTCTGCTGAATCCCGCGCACGTGTGTTCAGGTCTCGTGGCTGCATCCTTCACAGACCTGACGGTAGAAGGAGCCTCCGCGAACTGATTTTGGTCTGAATCCGCACGCAGCCAGTTGCTCGGGGAGCCCGGCCTTTAGACAGGGTGTCGGGGAAGATGGAGGTGCATGTTAAGGTATCGCTGAATAGCATTTGATTTCCACGTCCTGTAAATATGTCTAATCTCCCTAACAAGGGGAAAGCAAAGTGCTGGCTATCAATCATGGCGGTCAATGAGCTGCACTACAGCTGTCAGTCTGCGTGTGAGCAATTGGATATCTCGGGACTGCAGAGCCGCTATCAATCTTTCTGTGTTTTCCCACGATAAATAGCCCCGTGTGCTGTCTGGAGAAAGGGGCCCAGAAGTGCAGCACCTCGGCGGGTTAAAGCAGCTCAGGGTCGGGCTGGGCCGCTCTCTAGGTCGCCTGTAGGAATTTGGCTCCGGTTGGAGCGCACCTGGGTGCGCAGGTGTCCACAGGCAAAATGCCCCACCGTGACTGGAGCTGGCTGTCTCCCTTGAAGACAGCCTGACGGTGCCCCCTTTATCTCAGGCCCAAGCCCGGGGAGCGCTGTCAGCGCCCTGCGGACAGAGGACGACGGTCTCCAGGGCAGTCAATCTGGCACTGCTCAACCACTTGGCTCACTTGGAGGTGCCTCCTCCTTCCCCAATCTGCTCACCGGCAGTCTGCTTGGAAAGGGCCTTTGGATACAAGCTCAGACCAAATGTCCACTCTCTCCGGAGACTTCCCGCATTCATCCTGAGATGCCAAACTCCCTGGACTGCGGCCATCAAGTGTCAGCCTCTGACAGCCTGAGCTCGGAGCGCGGGAACCGTTCCCTGCCCGCGGACGGCTTCCCGATTGCCTACTCCTCGCCGTCTCTGCGTGCGAATGCTTTTATCCCGCAGTAAGAGCCATTTGTTTCTGTTTGCTTTAAGCCTCTTTCAGATGAGAGCATTTGCACACAAAGTTCATCAGGGACGATGCGTGTGTAGACCAGCTCCGAAAAGCGCCTCCAGAAACTACGCTTTGTCTTCACGGAAAACCTACTCTCAGGCCCACCTCATCGCAGTGCTGCTGCTGAGAGCAAGCCGGTCCTCCCCGGGGTGGCGGGCAACGGGCGTTTGGGTGGGATTGGATTTTAAGGGTTCTCCCGTGGGGATTTATTCGGTTTCTGACTCTGCATCACCTAAGATCTGTTAGCACTTGAATGCATTTCAGGGCTCTCTTTTTAGCCATTCACTGGTGCAGCCCTAGGCATTGAAACCCCGCTCCGGTGCGGTCAGCTCTCTGAATGCAGCTGCAGAAGATAGTGGAGACATTTGCACCCACAAGCAGGGAGCCTAGCAGGAAACACCCTTAAAACCAGGGCCTAAGTGACAGTAGTGGTTGTGCTAATGACTTGCCATCGCTGGGTGGGTCGCTTTTCCAGCGGCTAAGCAATGGTGCACGCAGACGGCGTGTCTCTCCCACGGGGATGTGGGGGGAGCTGGGGAAGGGCGGGGGGAGCTGAAGTGTTTTTTCCGTGCAGAGCAGCAGCTCTCGTGCATCCGCACCCTGCCAGGCACCGTTGTGCAGAGCAGAGCGGAGGACCAGTGACAGCGCACGGTGACCCACCACGGGCTTTCCGTTTCAGGATTTCTTGACCGACCTCATGATGTCTGAGGTGGACCGCTGCGGAGAGAACGAGCACCTCATCTTCCGGGAGAACACGCTGGCCACCAAAGCCATCGAGGAGTACCTGAAGCTCGTGGGGCAAAAATACTTGCAGGATGCCTTAGGTACGTGCACGCGGGAGCTGGGATGGGAGGCTGGGTCTGGTCTGCGAGAGGCCGCCTGTCACCTTCCCTGGTGTCAGGGGAGGGTGTTGAAGTCTGGCCTCGGTGCTGCCAGGGGCATCACAGCAGCCCTGTCAGGATGCCAGGAGCCTGCAGCCTACAAGAAATAGGCATGACGTGGAGCAGATTGCAGGGCCCCAGTATCTGCCTCGGGACTATGCCTCCCAGCAGGCCACGCAGCCAAACCACGTGGCTCCAGCTGGAGCGCCGCATGCTCCGGCATGCAGGCGGCCGGGTCCCCATTGCACAGCTGTGCGGGGTCGGGGTGAAGTCCGTGTTCGGTTCTCTACAGCGGGATCTTCAGCCTGCTTGCAGAGGCGGCAGCAAATTGGTGCATTAAGGGGTCATTTGTGCACCAGGTTTTCTGCCTTAGCATCCAGCCGCCCCACAGTGCTGACCTACGGCTTGTCGCATCCCAGACCCGCAGTCCCTGCTGGGTGCGGATGAGATTGCTCTGTTTAGCGTGACGGCTGTTGCTTTCCAAGTTGTCAGAAGACCCCATGCTGGTGTTTAAACACAGCTGGCTCTGAGCAGCCTTTCTGCACCTGCAGCCCCAGATCAGACCTCCTGCTTTGGGGCAGGGTGGGAAGGAGTTCCCCATGCATGGACAGCACTGCACATCGAGGAGGAGGGGTGTTTCCTGTGGAAGCCAGTCTCCTAGGCTTGGCCGGAGGGTCCCCGGGCCAGGGGTCCAGCCTGGTGCACGCATGTGCGACCCTCCCCGTCTGGCTGGCCACTAATTCCTCTCTTGGTGCTGGCTGCGTGCCGGGGTCCTTGTAGCGGGTGGGTGGGGTGGTTCGTGCCGAAACGCTGGAAGGACCAGGGTAAAAATCTTAGGTCTGGAGATGGATGGAAGGATTCACAAACAGATTCAGTCCAAACCCCCGAGGGGAGAGAGTGATGCGATTTGTTCCTGCTGTCTAATGATTTGCAGCTGACGGCTGGCCTGCGAGGAGATTACCTTTACAAAATGCTAAAAAATCTGGAGATTAATGAAGGGCCAGGCTTTCTGGCTAGTCCCGTCAGGGCGAGAAGTGCCTATTCCCCAGCTGCCTTCGGCTGGCACAGGAGGTGGCGGCAGGGGTTGCTGGCTGTTTGGGACGATGATTGTTCATAGGTCTCTTATCAGGGAAGCGATTCATCCTGGTGTCACCGGGTAATACAGAAGCGCATGGTGCTTCCCTGTAAACCGTGTAATAGGGCAGGATAATAACAGCAGGCATCACCTCCAGGCAGGCAGGCAGGCAGAGAGGCTCCAAGCTCCCCGCTCGAGCTGCAGATACTTTGGACGGGCTCGCTGGTGAATAATTAAAATCGGTTCCGGGCGACAGAAGGGAGCGAGTACGTAGGCGAACCGTGGGGTGCGCGTGGGAAGGGGAAGGCTGCGGCTCCCTGGGAGCCGGGCAAAGTGCTTGGGCTGAGCAGGGAGGTGCCTTGTCCTCACTGTGCACCAGGCAGGGAAGGAGCCAAGCCCTGCCCGAGTCCTTCTGTGCGGGGGCATTGGAGAGGGCAGCCTGGGCACCACGTTGGCGTGATGCTGTCGTACTAGCCGACCAGCACACCTACCTCTGGGGTCTCTCCTTCAGCTGCACGCAGCTCCCACGGGGCACAGCAGCCCATCCCAGGGTCCTGGGGCTGGCTGGCCCTGTCTCCAGCCTCCGCACGCCACCAGCCGATGGCAGTGTGACCATGCAGGGGTGCAGCCCACATGCTTGTGTCACCCTGTCCAACGTGGAGTAGTGCTGGGGAAGCCAGGCCTCCCGCTGGGGCTTCTTGTATCGATCCATAAAGCAGGGCTCCAAACCCAGCCAAGCTACAGTGGGTTATGCTTGCCAGACAGCTCTCCAGCTGGCTGGAGGAGGACGGGCCCAGCCACATCCTCCTACCCTGCAGTCCCCATCCTTAGTCACCCGTGTGCCAGGAGCTGGGTGAAACCCTTACACCCGCGGCCTTGCAGCATCCCTCTCTGCCTTGTCACCAGAGGCCACCTCTGTCTGTGTTGCAGGGGAGTTTATCAAAGCGCTGTACGAGTCCGATGAAAACTGCGAGGTGGACCCCAGCAAGTGCTCGTCCTCGGACCTTCCCGAACATCAGAGCAACCTGAAAATGTGCTGCGAGCTGGCCTTCTGCAAAATCATCAACTCCTACTGGTCAGTGTCTCTGCAAACCTGGGGGCGCCGAGGCTGGCGAACGGGCATGTCTGTGCTTGAGACGCAGTTGCTGGCACATGCGAGATGAAAAGGAGTCAGAGAACCAGATGATTTGCTGTTTGATTAATAACTAGCTAAAAATAACTGAGGGGGCTCTAGGAAGTCAGTCTAAATAGAGGCTCAACAAGTGACGCAGGGGGAGTGAAGGATGTGTCAGGGAATTGGCCTCTTCAGCCGTTCCTTGAGAAAAAGGGTGAAGTAACCGGGATGCTGTTCTCAGTGATTCTCGAGGACTTAATTGGGTGACAGGCATCTGGGATTGGCCAAGGTACCCTCGTACTTAAAGATCTCGCTTTAAATAGAGTCTGCAGATTCATCCGCAGGGGAGAGAGAGGAAAGAGGTCTACAATAACTGAAAATTGTTATAATTACGACATGATTTGGACATCTGGAGAGTTTCAGCGTAAGCAGAAATTTGGCGTGTGGAAGCCTGTTACAGGGAAGCTGGTAGTGATTGATGAAGGCCCTCGCTGCAAACCACATCCCATCCGTCGCCGCGCAGTTTAGTGGCTCCAGGCTCCCAGCCTGCGAGAGCCACCGGGGCTGCACGTGACTGCGGGCGCCCGTGGGGTGGAGGTTTGCTCTGCAGTAGCCGTTCGACCCGTCCAGAGCATTCGGGCTTGAAATCTGCCAGCGTTGCTGGGCAAGAGAGACAAAGCACGGGGGGCTCGGCTCCTTCGTAGGCAGGCAGCTGGATTTATCCAGCCACCGTGTGTTGGCCGTGTGAGGTCTACTGCAGCAAGGGGGTTCGGGGCAGAGGGGTCTGGGTTTGCATGGGCAGTGCTGGCAGCAGATCCCAGCTACACCGGGCTTTTGGCTGAGACCGCTCCTTTTCTCAAGCGAGCAGGCTCCATCCAGTCTACGTGCCTAAAACTAGCCTTTGCTGTCTCAAGTGGGAAGAGCCCTGGGCTGCCCAAGATGGGCAGAGACGGAGCAGACGGAGGAGGAACATTTGTGAGCAGGCAGAAGCAGATGGGCAGGAGCTAGCGAGGACGCAGATTCGGAGCGCGTTGCTGGCCGAGGGGCAGGGAGCTCTCGCCTGCTGGGTCGCTCAGTGGCCGAGGACCTGTAGCGTGGTGCTCGGATGCAGGGTACATGCAACCGGGAGGGGACATGAAACCCAGCGGTCCCGAGCTCAGGTGCAGCCGAGCCTGACAGACCGATGGCCTCTGCCCTGGGCAGCACTGGTCTCGCCCCCAAGTGCTAGTGCTGGGAGGGATACTTGCTTGTTAGCACCCCGAGACCTGGCTCTGCTGGAGCCCGGGAGCAGCACACAGAGCCGGAGAGCTGTCCCCAGCCACGCTCCAGGTCAGAGCCCCTGGCTGATGGGTGGCACTGTCCTGGGCCCAGGGCTGTCTGGAGGGGGAGACCAGCGTCCCAGGCCGGGTGTAGCCTGTGTGGTGTTGTCTGCCCATGCCGGGCAGGACACGCAGCACGCTCCGTGCATTTTCCCCCTGGGCCCTGCAGAGAGCGGGGCTGCTGCTGTCGGCTAAACTGGCTGTGAGCAGAAACCCCCATCCCTCTCCCTCCTGGGCTTGTTTCTTTCCACGGGGTGCTGTAGTTAAATTGCTTTGCTTTTCAAACGTGGGGCCAGCTGGCTTCCTGGGAGTGCCGGTCCTATGCCAGCAACCGGCCGTGGCACGCTGGGATCCATTGTCCAGCGTCCCTTCGGGGTGGGTGTATCCAGCAGATCAGCAGCACAGGTGGGAAGATGGCAGCGGGGCGGGCGCAAGACAGCAGGCCTTTAATGCTAAGGCCAAACACCCAGCCCAGGGAGCTGGCCGGGAATGGGCACGAATGGGCCACAAGTCCCAAACCCAGTTCCTGGTCTGCCTTTTTTTGCAGCTGGAAATCTTCCCATACGGTCCCCTGGGTACTCCCCCAGAGGGTAGGGACCTACTACTGCTGTCCGTTAGATGAGCTCCTCCCTTAGATGTAGAGATGGAGGCTTCTGGTGGTGAAGAGCCAGAGTTCGTGCCCTGGGAACAAGGCAGAGGGAAAGGGGTTTTGGTAGGTGAATCCTTCCTCTTGGCCGGCAGAGCACCCAGCGGCTCCTTGCCAAGAGCAGCCCGAGGTGCCTAGTCCTGAACTGACGAGCCCCGGCTTCTCTTGGCAGCGTCTTCCCCAGGGAGCTCAAAGAGGTCTTTGCTTCGTGGAGACAAGAGTGCAGCAACCGCGGCCGCCCGGATATCAGTGAGCGCCTCATCAGTGCCTCCTTGTTCCTCCGGTTCCTCTGTCCAGCCATCATGTCCCCTTCCCTCTTCAATCTCCTCCAGGAGTACCCCGACGACCGCACTGCACGCACTTTGACCCTCATTGCCAAGGTCACGCAGAACCTTGCCAACTTTGCAAAGTGAGTTTGGGGGGCCGAGGGCTGAGCTGGGAGAGCGCGAAGGGAAGGCGGACTTGCAGCCTCGTCGGTTTTGAAGGCCGTGCTTGGTGCTGGGCTCGCACACCTTGAAGGCCTCTGTCCTGTGTGGCAGCACGGAGCAGGCATCCCTGTACCACGCTGCCAGCATACCGCAGCCTGAGCCGTGGGGACCCCGCTCTCCCTGAAGTCGGGGGATATGGGCAGGGACCTGAAGGGAAGCAGGACCAGGGTGGGGTGAGACGGGGGTCCCTGGGATTGCCAAAATGAGCAGCCGGGGGGGCAGTTAGTGCCACATGTGGTGGCTGCCTTGGCAGCCGGGCTGAGAGCTGCTTGTTGCACTGCACCGGGGAACAGCCACAGGTGGGAAACCGCTGCACAGAGACTGAGGGGCCGTTTGAATTCCCGCTGCGGGACAGTCCGTAGCCAGGGTAGCTGGATGCCAGGCTGCCAGCTGCGGCCAAGCCCTAGGTAGGGGGGCTTGCACAGACACCTGTGCTGCTTCTGCAAGGTCGGTGCCCTGCAGCCACACGCCCATTAGTTTCCAAAACAATGGGCAACGGTCTGTTCTCAACCCAGAGCGGCAGATTGGCCGTCATTGAAATGCCTGGTTTCTAAATTGGCCGGGCTTGGTACAGAAGGCGCCTCACTTGCCATGACCAAAGGCGTGTGGATTTTAGCTGTCTCGCTGGAGGCACCGCTCTGACCAAACCCTAGATCCCGCCAGTGTCAGTGGACCTACATGTAGGGAAGGTTTTTCTCCCTGGACTGAGCTCAGTGACCCTCGCAGTTATTGAAATGAGCTTCTCTGAACTCAGAGGCTATGAAAAGGAGCTGGGGAAGCTATCAATTTCTAGCTAAGCGCAGGGGTTTGGTGGAAACAAAGCAAGAGATTTCTGAAAATCTTTCCACCGGCTCTGGTAGACGCTCTGAGCTCCTTATCCTGAGCTTTGATAACAAACCAATGCGCTCTCGGAAACGGGCACGGACAATTCCAGTCTAAAGCTTCTTAGATGTGGAGACGGGTCGAATGCGCAGCCTGGCGGCTAGCCACGCGGGCACACGTGCACGCACACGGAAGGAGACATGCAAGCGTGTTACACCGGCTGACAGGCACTCTCTGCGTTTGCCCTGCCCCTTACTCAAAGGTTTTCAGGTTTTGAGTCTAAGAGAAGAATCCAGCCCTGCAAGAGGATGGGGCCCGTGACAAAGGGATGGGGCATCCCGTGCCCAATTGCAAAGTGGTGCTTCGTGTTACTTGGCTTCAAGCGCTTACAAACGCAGAGGCAGCAAGGCTCAGCTGGCCATAGCTAGACTGTGCGTGGAGCGCATGCCCGGACACCCCAGTCTTGGCCTGCCCTGCCTTCAGCCTGGCTTGCTTTTGCTTTGTCCCGGGTGCAGCCTGCTCCGTCAGTGCCCACAGCCACTCTCAGCGGTACCCTGGGCTCTGCCAAGCGGTCCATGCACCTGAGCCACTAGCCATGCCCTGTTGTCGGGTTTGAGCTCAAGGCCTGGCCAAGACACTGCATTCGCTTGGCTTGTGACTCATAACGAGTCTACACCTGAGAGAGAAAGTGCTTGTGAATTCAGCCCAGTGCCTGCCCTCCGCTCTAAAGCAGGAAGGCGCCCCCGACTCTTCTGGAGCCATTTGAAGCATCTTGGCTTTGCTCTTGCTGCAACAGGGACCGTGATGACATGTCTCTGCCCAAGAGCCAAGCATGCTTGACTTGACAAGGCAGTGTGGGAGCGATGCTGCAGCAGGGATAGTCCAGGCAGCATGCCAGGGGCAGGGATATTTAAGGGGGTGATATCTTCTATTGGACCAGCAGCATAGATGGGTGAGATCTGAGATGAGCTTTTGAGCACAAAGTCTCCCAAGAGAAGGGCAGCGAGACCCTCGCATCTCCATTTCGAGTTCGCCTTACCTGGCAGTAAGTGTATTCGGAGCTCGACTCTCAAGGCGTTCGCATGCCAGGCGCATCCGCACCTTCCCAGCTTTCACACTCGGGAACAGACGCTGTCTCTCTCGTGCAGACAGCACAGACGCGGCTCGCCTGCTCTGGCAGGAGGGCTGTGAGCAGTGACGTTGTTTGCTGGTGCCCCGGGGTGGCTGCAGCATCCCGGCGCTCAGCTGCGGACTGTCGCTTTGCCCGTGGCAGAGGCTGGGACAGGCGGGTGCGCTCCAGCGCTGGTCAGCAACACACTGGGAACAAGAAGTCTGTGCATTTGCAATGGCTGCTCAAGCCAGCCCCAATACTAGGTCCTAATGGTCACAGGATCTTAGGTGCTTGCTTGAGTCCAAAAAACCCAAGAAAAGCTTCTGTTTCTTTATTGGGTTTGGCACTGACACAGAGCTGACTCAAAAGCAAAACCAGCCTCCAGCTGCAAGAGATGCTCCAGAGCTCAGGGGCATTTGGATTATGGGCTCAAGCACCTCTGGTCTGCAAAACCAGAGGGTGAGCCCTCTCTGAGTCCCTCTTCATCCCAGATATCAAAGATGGAGATGAGGCATTGTAGGGTTCCTGGCTCATCTTCGTTCACCTCCTGGCCATTCCCGGGGTTACAGTTAGTGTGCTGGGCTCCTTAACTGAAAGCGAGCAATAGCATTCACTGGCTATCAGGGACAGGTCCTCAGCACGGGGTGAGATGTGCTCCTCTGTCAAACACAGCTTTGCTGTCAAGCTTTCATGTTGATTTCCAAGGTCCAGATCCCACTTGAATGAGTGTTTTCCTAGGCCCTAAATGATCCTGGGTCCTGAGCAGTGTGTTCGTTCACTGGATATCCTAAAGGCTCAGCAAGAGAAGAGGACTTCGGAAGCAAGGCTTAGACCTGCTCCTGTGTGGGATGTTCCCGTATGAGATGTTCAATGATCACAGGCTCTGTCTAAGATCCATGTACCTGTCTTCATTCATAGATTTGGCAGCAAAGAGGAATATATGTCCTTTATGAACCAGTTTCTGGAGCACGAATGGACGAATATGCAGCGATTCCTCCTGGAAATTTCCAATCCCGAGACCATCTCCAATACAGCTGGCTTTGAAGGCTACATCGACCTTGGCCGAGAACTGTCCACGTTGCACTCTCTGCTCTGGGAGGTCATTTCTCAGCTTGAACAGGTACCTTCTGCGGGTGCGCGTGGGGCCAGCCCGGGCAGTCACCAGGAGGTTCGTGTGCACCATACCGCCCGGCTTCAGCACACAAACTGCTTGCAAGAGTGGCCAGTACTGGCTCCCCGGAAGGCGTGTGTTGGTAGTGCCCGCTCCAGCCATTAGCGCTTTGCACTTCTGCAGCCTCTGTGCCTACTGCCAGCACGGCTCGTGCCGTGCAGCCCCTGTGATGCAAGCAGGTCTAAGCAAATCCTTTGCACCGTGGTGAAATCAAGGCAGGGATGAGGGCTTGGAAACCACAGCCATCCAGTCCCCTGCTCTGAGCACTAGGCCTTGCTATTGCCTCAGGGAGCAAACTGCCCTTGGAAGGGCCTGGATGTGCCTCCTCATTGCAGCTTTTGCTGCAAAGGTCGAGAGAGCCCAGGCTGCACTTGGATCCTCCGTGAGCCTGCTCGGCGCTGTTCAAAACACACAAGGGAGCACGTGCCTCCTCCAGGCACCCTGCCCCCTCGTCCCAAGGCAGCCCCAGGCCCACACACGGGTGTGGATGAACAGCTGAGGGCCCAGGTTTCCCTTTACATGGAAAAGCAGCAGCAAACGCTCCTCTCCCTGTTCCTCTCCAGGCGATGGCAACGAAACTGGGGCCTCTGCCTCGGATCCTGAGGGACGTCAACACGGCGCTCAATAACCCGGCGTGCGTGCAGGTCTCGGTCACGGCCGACCACACCGCGTCCACGCCCAGCGCTGGCAACAGCATCTCTGCGGGGCTGCAGAAAATGGTGATAGAGAATGACTTATCTGGGTAAGAGCGTGTGCGAGAGAGCCTGAGGCTGCGCCGCGTCGGGAGGAAAGCCTCCGGGAGGCTGAGCACTAGGTCCTGGGTGTGGACCCGCTCTCTTAGTGCTGCCCGCCAAGGAGGGTGAGGTGCTGAGCAAAAGGAGCCTGGGATCCAGGACTGCTCTCCTGTCGGCTCAGCCTGCGGTCACAGCTCGGCGCTACTCCCCTGGCTCTTGTGAGCACTGGAGAGGGCCGTCCTGCGAGCATACACAGTGCATGCAGTGGCCTTCACCTTCCCTGGGAGCTCCAGGCCATGAAAGGTTTGCGAGGCTGGGCCTGTCCAGCTCACGAGGCACTGAACTGGTGTCACATCTAAATCCCTGGCTGCTACCTGAACCCCCTCTGCTAGGAGCTTGCGGGTCAGGGATTTCCTCCTGCCCTGCCTGTGTTATATCAGAACTGATACACCAAACCCCTAGCTATTTTCCCCAAGAAACAACACCCCGGTGCAGTCCCCTAATGCATGCCGGCTGGGCTCATGATGGGAGGAACAGCATTTGTGGGGGGCACGGACTCCATTGGGGAGTTGTCCCTGTGCTGGTGGAGGGTGAATCGGAGCCCACACAGATGCAGAGCGGATCTCGAATGGAAACACCCATTATTTAACAATTTAATTATGGATGAAAGATGGCACGAGGCAGCCGGACTGGCTCCACTCAGAGCTTTCATCTCTAATGCATCCCAGCGTGGGGTACAGCTGTTTCCATGCTGAGCCAGGGAGAGCTCCTAAGAACGGCGCGCGCCGGTCCCGACGCTGCCTCACCAACGCACCGTCTTTGATCAGAGGCGCATTTGCGTTAAGCTGCTGCAAAGCCCTCTCTGTGTTAGCCACTGCAAATCGATGCAGCCACCTGGGGCGGCAGGAGGAGCGGGGGACTGGTCCTCAGCCCTCTGAGCTGTCTGCCTTTTCACGGAGAGCAGCCGCCACGGGGGCTGTTTGCTGTTTGCAGCGTGGTAGCACGTAGGTGCCTAGTCTACCGGGGTGCCTGCCGTTGTGCGGGGCGCTAACGCCACAGTACACAAAGGGAATCGTTGCCCCCAAGCGCTTGCAATGTAAGAGTCCGCTCGCTCGCTCTCTTCCCGTGGATTTCCCCAGCCGCCTGCCCGTCTGCCTGGACCTGAGCAAAGGGCCGGTGTTGGGTGGGATGACTGACACCAGTTGTAGTGTCTGATGGAGCACGTCCCGACGGGGCCTCTGTCCTGCACCCAGCTAGACCCTTGTGTCCTCCTGCTCTTCACCAGGCCCACTCACGCCAGAGCGCTGGTGCCCACGCCTCCCCGCTCGCACGGCGGACAGCCCAGCAGCGCACGGGTACTTCCAGGCGTGTTGCCCCCTCCTCTACCCAGACTTTTCTTCCCCGATGGAGCAAGACAGAGCCCCCGCATGCTGGCTTGTGTCTACCCAACTGGCAACGCCGTTTTCCCCAGCGGTCTGCTGCTGCAGTGTAGCATTCACGGATCTTCTCTCTTCTTCCCCCTTCCCCTTGTGCCTTTGTCTCCCTGCAGTCTGATAGATTTCACCCGGTTACCGTCTCCCACCCCTGAAAACAAGGACTTGTTTTTTGTCACAAGGTCTGCTGGGGCCCAGCCCTCCCCTGCCCGCAGCTCCAGCTATTCGGAGGCCAATGAGCCTGACGTGCAGATGTCCAATGGCAGCAAGAGTTTGTCCATGGTGGACTTGCAGGACAATCGCGTCTTGGACGGCGGGGCCAACGCGCCCGGGACTGCTGACTCTCTCAATGACAGTCAGTCGTCCATCGGGCAGTTACAGGGCGTATGGACCACACGAACTCAGCAGAACAATGTGGCGGGCATGGCCACGGTGCGCCGGGTCGGCCAGACCCCCACCACCCCCAATGCCGAGAGCGCTCCTGGCCGGCCCCAACTCCTGGCACCGCTGTCCTTCCAAAACCCGGTGTACCAGATGGCTGCCGGGCTGCCGCTCTCGCCCCGCGGCCTGGCGGACTCGGGCTCGGAGTGCCACAGCTCGCTCAGCTCCCACAGCAACAGCGAGGAGCTGACGGCCAACAAGCACGGCTTCGTCGCGCCTGCGGCAGCCGAGGACTTTGCCCGGCGGACGGGGGAGCTGGCCCGCCGGCAGCTCTCGCTGACGGAGAAGGGCGGGCAGCCCACCATGCCCCGGCAGAACAGCGCCGGGCCACAGAGACGGATAGACCAGCCGCCTCCGCCCCCGCCGCCCGTCACCAGGGGCAGGACGCCGCCCTCGCTGCTCAACACGGTCCAGTACCAGCGCCCGTCCAGTGGGAGCATGATGTCCTCCTCGCCCGACTGGCCGGGTAGCGGGGCCCGCCTGCGGCAGCAGTCCTCCTCCTCCAAGGGCGACAGCCCCGAGATGAAGCAGCGCACCATGCACAAGCAGGTGAGTCCCGGGGGTCCCGCTGAGCGCGGAGAGCTGGGGGCGGGCAGGGGAGCTGGGGGCGAGCTCTGGAGTGAGGGAGGATTGGCATTCGAGTCCCCCCTTCAGCACCACACGTGGCCGGGGGGCTGGCTCTGCCACGATGCTCTGTGCACCTGGAGACACAGGCCGTCCCCAGAGGAGAGCAGCGAAGTTCCTGTCACCCCACAGCACGGGCTGCGTCCGTATTGTCCCCCAGCGCGCGGCTGTCTCAGGGCTGTGAATTCAGCCACGACCCTACGGTGCTGACGGCCCGCGCTGCCCTTCTGCTCTGCCCCGCCATCCCGTCACTGCTTTGCCTATCCGTGTGCAAGCTGCTCATCCCATGCCACCGTCAACCCGACTCCATCTCATGGACAAGGATCGGGATCTCCGCCGTGTCGGAGTCTCTGTCCCGTTGCGACCGCTTTGCCCGATCTGTGGCATTCCCGGATACTCCCCCTCTTGTCAGTCGTGTCCTCGAGCCTCCCCAGCAGGTGCAGTCTGGGACGGGTGAGGTGGAGGAGCAGGGAGAAGCAAAGGCACTTGGTAGCACTCGGGGTCCCTGTGAAGCCGGAAGACCTGTTTGTCTCTGTTCAGTCTCCCCTCTGTCCCCAGACGTAGGACCTGGTTTCCTAGGCTGATACGGGGGGCCGGGTTTCAAACTGCTCCCGTAGAAAGATGAGTTGCACAAGGATGAGGGTACCTCAACCAGAGATGTTTTGAAATAATGCACGTGTAAAGAACGGGGGTAGCTCACAGCGCAGCACAAAGGTGCCTCTAGGTCCAGGCACTGCTGAAC